ATTTTTTACGACAATATTAAATACTTAACTTTATTACTGACAGTAATCATAATAAGCCACCACAGTTTACGAATAATAATAATAATAATATTTGATATACTATTATAATATGACTTGGTCATAAACATTTCGAATTAATTAAACGTCACACGATCGTATTTTTTTCGTGTAATAATTTTTTGATAATACAGCGTATTCCATTCTACTACTTTTATTATTAAATTTGTTTTGATTTTAATTCACAGTAACGTAACAACAATATAGTCAATGTAACAYGCTGTGGTTGTAGGTATACCTTCAATATGCGTATCAAAAAAACAAAACAAAAATCTGGTCTCAGATCCGCGCGAAATTATATATAATATATATATTATATACCATGGGTGGACAAACGGTCGATTGTGATCGACGAATCAATACAATATATAATTATTGTATTATTTGTATAARTATGCTTTTATTAGCAGGGCTCGGGACTTATAGCACTTAAAATCATTAAAATAAGCGCTTAAAAAAAGCTCTTAAAAACATCGTTATAAGCACTCAAATAAGCATTTAAAAAACTTAAATTTTTGCAAAAATATTTATCAAAAACAAAAAACTAAAAAATCAAACAAAATAAAAATAAATCTTTATCTTTAGGTATATAATAAAATAAATTAAACTTCACACTTTCGAGACTTTAAGGATTTTATAGATTTTCCGAATGATTTTCTGAAAAATTAAATGTAAACGATATTTATAATAGTTGAAAACATTATAAAAACGTAGAAATACTGGTCAAATAAGCAAAAATAATCAGAAAAACTGGRAATAATCATTTTTTTGAAAAATCGCTGGAACAACCGAAAATAAGCACTTTCAAACTTCATAATTAAATGTATTATAACATGACATACAATTCCATAGCACTATGCTACATTTTAAGTCAATCCATAAAAATAAGCAAATGCTTTAAGTCCCGAGCCCTGCTTATTAGTGATACTAAAAGTCTAAAACTATTAAGTATATTAGCGATAAAGACTTAAAATTATTATTTTTTTTACGTTAKCAGATTTTTTAGTTAAGAATGCTTAAGGGAAAAATTCAAAAATATATGATCAGTAGATCTCAATCAAAAAAAAGTTAGATAAAAACTGAACTATGATACACGCGAACTATATCTTATAATCATTGCAATTTATCGTTTGTTTTAACAAGGAGATGAGTACATGCATGCGTAGCATGAATACAATTCCAAACGCACTGTTGACACGTCATATTGCAGGAACATTATATTATTGGYGGTTGAAAYGAAAAATGAATTGGAATAAGTATTCAATAATATACATTATTTTGTTATAAGCTTTTAGTATGCTGTATAATTTTCGTAATTGATTCGACAAAATTGACGAAATCTTAAAGTACCTGCCTAATAATTTAATTATTGTACCCTATGCGTTCCTATATAGCTATTATATTATAATATAACCGTGTAATGCAATCCGATGGAGGTCATCTTATGCAGTTGTTGCACHAACCACGCGATATAGGTGACGCGAACACGTGATTAATAACAATAATAATCTAATAAACAGTCGAAAAAAAAAACAATCTCACATTAAACCTAATAGTACCTACCTACCTACTTATATAGATACCTACCTACTGCTTTATATTACTGTGTACTACTACGATCATTATAATATACGAGGATTCAGTGGGCACCTGCAAGTGTATATTATATATTTATACGGTTTCTCTTTCGTACAACTTATACGATATATAGGTATATAYATATATATATTATATACACACAATAATATAACGCGTGTGTTATGAGACTGCCGCCACCGTCGCCGCTGACCAGTGAGATGTTATCTACCGATTTATTTTTTTCGAAAAAGTCGAAAAAAAAAGATAAAAACCACCACGCTCCCGCGATGGGAATACATTATAATATTATGTATAAATTATATTAATTAAAATAATCTAGAATCCCCCGGGTCGGCCCACGCTTTTTTCACCTATTACAATAAATAACTATTAAAACATCCGCGTCCGGGTTAAACGTGAGGGCGTCAGATCAGTGTGGGTGTCGCGTGTGTAGTGGTTTTTTCCTTCATATTTGTCTCCTCTCCTCGCGCGCTGAACGCAGGTACATACAATAATATATTATTATAATACGCGTGCACATAAAATGCGTCTGTAGTATGGGCATAGGTATAATAATATTATATATTTAGTGATTTTTGCTGCGACGACGACGACGATAATTTAATTATCGTAGCGAGTCCACTCGCGGGACCAACGGGATTCAAATCAGTARAAAAATTACTAGTCGGCAAACAGACAGACGACCGCGTTTAAATGATTTACATGTTTCCAGAGTTGTGTGTATACTACAGAGCGGTTTAGCTTATTTTTAATTTGGCTGCATCAGTCGATGAAATCTCAGAGAAATTAAGAATCCTTAAATTGCATTGACGATAATTGGATCTCGTTTGCGATATCGTATAGAAACATGTAGGTAAAACACACGGTTTGATAAAAAAAAAAAATAATAATAATAATAATGATTAAAAAATTCCTTTATACTATTTCCAATAACATATAATAKTGACTACAGGTTAAATATTTATTAAGATAAATGGGCAACTGTGTGTGAGTTATTCAGGTGTAAAGTAAAACGTCGAATGATCGTATCAAAAAATTAAAGGTAATACAGATAGTATAGTCATATAACACCAAACAATAAGTTATTATCCAATAAGTTATTAATGTAATAATAATAATAATAATAATAACGGTAATTTATAACTATAAACGTGAACAATTGCTGGAGGGTTAATAATTATCTAATAATATGATGAGTGTAAAAAAAATATTGTAGAAWCAGCTAGGYGTARTTGGGTAAATTTTTATAATATTTGTACCTACACAATTACCAATACTATTTCACGAGGGAATTTTCATATTCTGTTAGGACGAACATCTATAATACAGAGAGACTTGTACCATTTGATCGACATAATTTTTCTTCCCATTTCAACGGAGTAATGGAATATTAAAAAATAATCGTTTGTTTCACTACATAATTTAAAATTGAATGCCTCGCGATTATTATCAATTTTTATAACAATTCAATTATATTAAAATAGTTAAAATTAAAATTAAAAAAGAACAGCTGGTAGAGAACCAATAACCGATAACCAGAGGAWATGACTGCTCTAGATTCACTCAGACGACCATTGCCCGTCGAAACGCCTGTCCACGTATTTTTTGCTGATAGAGAACACCCTAAACTATTTGCAGTGGCGCATTTTCGGTGGGAGGGGGGAGGGGTCCGGGTTCAAACCCCTCTCACCTTCCAGAGAAAAAAAATAGAGTTCCTCAATATTTTATTACGGGTTTTCTTATAATTGAACGATATAGTATTTAAAAGTAAGGTGAAACAAATAAGCCCCCCTCCCCCCAAGAAATTATTAAAAATACGCCACTGGCTATTATKTGTAACTATATACTTAACGACAATGGACGAACGTGACGTTGACATGAGCGTTATATAAATAATATTATACTATTATTATCACGATTTGTATTATAGAGACTTCTAAAAACCGAAACGTATCAAAAGACCGCGACGAGGAACGCGCCCGTTCGAACGTAACAATTTAACAGAAAAAAAATTGTTTACGACCGTCAGCACACGCGCTACACACGCCTTACACGCGGCTGCTATCGAACCGCTGACCGAGAGCATATTTTCCACGCGGCGGCTTACCACGTCGGACGAAAAAAAAAAACCGACAAAACAGAAACAATAGTAATAATTTTTCAATTTTTTTTTCTTTTCACACACAAACAATGTGTCGTCTCTCGAACAATCGAAACAAAAATAAAACACTGGCATTTTAGACGACAGGAACCGCCGCCCACCGATTCATTACCGCATTATAATTTTAAATACGTGCTGCGGTTGTAATTAATACATCATATATACACATATTATGCGTATAATATACGATAGTAATAATATGATATTTTTTAGTAAGTTTATGTTTGAAAAATATTAGTTTCGACGATGGTAATAAGGTAATCGGAATTCGCGTTAGTTTTTCGTGCAATTGCAGAAATATCAATATCGCTAAGTCGCAATAATATTAATTAAACGCGTAAAATAATCTGTTTCGATTACGTAGAACATGCTAAACTAGTATTACGTTTTCATTTTGCTTATTTCACTTAAGCGTTTTTTTTTTTCATATTATTAACGACAACTTTTTCGTAATTTTAGCAAAACAGTCTTTTCAAAAATTTAATYACATGATAAAAACACACTTATTTTTATGCGTGGCAAACCTTTTCATTCACCGTCCGACTGATAAACGATATTATATAATAATGTAGTTCACTGATACTAATTGTAACATTGTATTACATCATTGCAGAAGGTATTAAAAATATACAAATTTATTTTGTCATACTTTAACACGATATTAATTTTATTGGCTTTATTGTTTAATTCAATGCCACTATATAACTGTGTTGGATAATATTCTTACCCGTACAAATTGGTCAAGAACAGTTCATCCAAACATTTTTATTTTAGTGAAAACGCTAAAAATAGTGCATATTTATCCAACTGTTGGTGCATTATTAAGTATAGTATAATATTATTAATATTATAATAACAAGATGAATGATATGTTTTGTTTTTGTATTGTCGTTTATGTATAACTTTGTTATTTACATCTTGAAAAATAATTTACAAAATCGTATTACAATTATATGTATATAAATATATAGGTACCTAGAATAGTTATAATTTAAATTCTACTTTTGCGTAAAAAGGTCTGTATAAAATAAATAATATGTATAATGAATTAATTCTAATTTAAAAAACTATATAYTTCATGATTATGTACAAAAAAAAGATGAAATTACACAAGTGCAAAAAAAAAAGATCAAGAAGCTTTTATAAAATACACATATTAATATAAATATAAAACTAAAATGATTCAAAGCAAAACGGAAAAATATAATATCAAGCATTATAATATTCGTTTTGGAAAAAATTTTCAAAATATGGACACGAACTGATATTAAAGGTGGACTTAAAGGAAAAAAAATTCGATTTTACTCCGCAGATTTCGCATTACTTTTTTTCTGACAATAACTATGCTCGATGGCATAAAATATAAGTAAAACGATAATATGATATGTATAAATCTCAAAGAATGTCGATGATGATGATGATGATGATAATAATAATACACGAGAGAGAGCGAATGAGGCATAAATGCATAATGTTTAAAACGGACAGTTAACGAGAGTGATATAAAAAAAAAAAAAAAAAAAAAAACAGTGTCTGTTGCGGCGCAACGGGCGCATCAGTAAATAAATAAATTCGACRTTTAAAATACGATTTCGTGAATAGGATTGTATATTACAATATAATATGATAAAYCATCATAATTTAAAATGACATTGAATCGTAGTGGTGTAGGGTAGTGGAGGGGAGGGGTCAAGGATTGTCGGGGGAAAAAGACTTAAACGATGGTGGTGTTACCTACTAGAGTAACCGACGTGATAATATCTCGGATTTGTGATCGAACAACTARGCGACCTGCGCCAACCGATCGATCGATATGCGTATTACGCACTATTATAGTAGTTATATAATATAATAATTATCGTTTAGAGCAATAATATTATATTGCTGGTTGATGGTATTATAATAACAGTTTAATATTATAATAACTCTCCAATCTATATAATATAGATGTCTGGATGAGTCGGAAAGACGATCGTTATAATAGTATAATATATTAAAATGATATATACGATATATCATTATATGTGCGATCGACTCTTCCGAATAATAAAAAATAATGATAATATTATTATATAGTATGATACGTTCGRGACTGACGATATGGACGACGGTGTACACGTAATATTATAAATAATAATTAGCATAATATTATAAATATATGAAATTCTTAACAACTAATTGGTCATTAAAAAAAAACCGTGTTCCGTATATTATTATATTAAGACTAGTAGTGTGCGACAAGCCGTCCGACTCGTAAAAAAAAAAAATAATGATAAAAGGTATTCCACTCGTATACAATGAAATAATAATAATAATAATATGATTTAGTTTCGTTCCACTGTTGCAAGTGGTTTCCGCCCCGCCCTGTCACTCGGAGACGTCGGTCGCGCAACCGCAACCGCACTCGGTGACCACCGGATACTCCACTTTGATCCACTGGCACACCTTTATCTGGTTGACCACCGACCCCGTCGCCTTTGTGCCCGGTAGACTGTTGTATTGTAGTGAGGCCGATGGGACGTTAGGGCTTCGGCAATGCCATCGCAAAAGCGTCTTGTACTGGCTCCCAGTGGCTCGGCAGTACATTCCCGCGGGTACCGAGCACGACGTCTCACCCTTGGGACAGTGGCCCTCGAGCAGCCACCGTGGCCAGAACCGTTGGCCCAGGTCCTTCCACTGTCTGTGCATCGGGCACGCCGTCCGGCCCCAGAGGTATTGCTGGATCTTCCGGCGCAGTTGACCGGATATCCGGGTCCGGAGCCTCCGGCCGTCCGGTAGGGAGAAGTATTTGGTGTCCAGCTCTCGGATCCCCGTTGGCATCTTTCCGGTGGGCACCAATCGGCCCCGTCGATTCCTCCTGCGCAACACACGGACGGCAAAAACATAGCGTTAGTATTATTTTATGATGTCATTATAGGTGCCTACAATAATTATATAAAATGTACCTATATAAGCATAAGGCCTAACTATAGGTGGAGGGAATGGTATATACGTCACAGACCAGCCTGTTTTCGATGGATATGTAACACAATAAAATACCTTTATAGATTTTCCTTATATTATGTACACAGTTTAAATGACTTAAATTAAAAAAAATTTAAATTTAATATCACCCTTTGTAAGCTTACCATTTTTTTATGTGTAGAAATTATTAGATAGTGGCCTCAATTAACGAGTAAAGAAAATTTGTAAGAAATTAATAAAGAATAATCATTTTTTTATCCTAAATCATAGCTCGTAACCATAGTTTGAAGATCTCTCTTTTTTAGTAAAATTATTCAAACTTTTATCAAAATCTAGCTGATTTAAATATTTTTTTAATATGTAAAATTGATATGACAATCTATTAAACCTATCCCAATTCATACTATAGTCGTATACTCAAATGTCTTAATTATTTTCATCGCAAAAATCATATGAAAGTATAGTAAAAAGAGCGTTATTATTATGAATAAAATAAAAATATTTTAATGTTATTATTAAAAGTACAATCATTTAAAAAAAAGCATTGTTAAGGTGTCAAAAGTCATCCGCTCGTCGTAATGTACAATGTAATATAATATGATATCATCAGGCCCGTCGCTAGGGTACAAGCAAGCCATGCGTTGCTTTAGGGCGGCATAACATTTAAAAAAATTGAGGCGGCAAATTGTAATATTAAATTTCCAAAAAAGACAGAAATTTAATTATTATTTTTATTCGCTTTAGGGCGGAAAATGTCTTACGACGGGCCTGGATATCATATAGGTGCTAATGCTATGATATCTTTTGATTACTAATTGCTAAAGTATTGGTAAGACTAAAAGAACTTATAAATTATAACAAGTAGGTACTTATTTAGTATTTTAGTAATTATTAGAATTATTATATTTTGCAGTATTGCTTTAAAAAAAAAACGCCATATTCAACCCCATATAATGTTTAAACGCAAATAATACGATTTTGTTATTTCATAATATCGGCTTTTGAATTGTACAATGATATATAGGTAATAATAATACTTTTGTTAAAGCTAATAACCTATGTAGTCGATACTAAACTATTAAAAAGATATCGGCATTATGTCAACTGTATATTTCTTAACAAGACTGTATACGCTTTTAGTAATTTTTATAAATTAATATTTTGTTTGACAACGTCATACAAACTATAGTAAAAATACTTTTATGAATTATAACAACTGTTTAGTATATCATTATGTTGTGTGTACACTTAACACCATGTTGTATACGTGTATGAGTTGTTAATCGTTTTGAGTTAGTAGCTACACAATATAGGTATAATAAATTACGGGAAATTATATGTTTGAATAATAATTGATTTACTAATTTAAAAGCTGTAGGTATGAAGACCGTGAAATTAACATAACGTGTTCCAAATATAACATAATATATACCTATTACCGTTCGAATCCTAAATAAATCGTGAGTTTTTTTGTATATTTATTAGTTTTGTTTACGCGTTTCGGTTACAATAATAATTACAGTACCCATAAACGTATCTAAAAGCCATTTGGTTTGAAAATATTTACGTGTTATTCGCAGGAAACTATTTAATAATATTATCTACCTATATTCTAGATTTCATATTGAATTTTAACTTATAAACTACTTGTTAGAAATTTCCATCTTTAATGATTGATGTTTTCAAAAAAAAATATTCTGCTTTGAAATGAGGAATTTCAAATACATTAATTAATTGTTGTTAAAATGTACAAAATATAATATTTTAAAATCCTACATTTTAGAAATAATGAAGACCTCAAGTTCATTGGATCAATCGTTTTATATCGTTAACTGATATCGATTAATATTGATCTACCACCCTAATACTGCCGTTATGATGGTGAATACTCAAAATTTCATTTACCGCAATACATCCTCATTAGGTACATAATAATAGTATAATATTATCTATATTACAATAATAATGTATTTGGGACATTCTCTTCTTCCAGATCACGCATACAAACTTGGCTTAAATGACCCACCCCTTCTCTACCACCTACACATATCAGATAGCGTCTGTGATCTCTCTCATTTACAATTTAACTGTCCATCATTACATTTTAAGCGTTTGTCTCTGATCATCTATCTAAAGTGTCTTAATACTCCCCCTAATCTCTCAGCTATGCTCAATATTAAATCCGAAACGGTTATTAAAAAAAAAGAATTCACTTAATATTGGAAGCTGTTTTCGTAATTTAATGATGTTAATATTATTTTTGTACTTTTATTTATCATTTTTTACTGTCATAATATTGTATTGTTTTCTCCTCCGGTGTTTGTTATGAGCCTGTCTATATAGTATATTTGTATATTTGTGTAACTGATAATATTGTCAAGCTGTTATAATAGCCTCTGACTAAAAGTTAATAACCATAGACAAAATAATAATAATAATAATAATGTATGACGATCGAAAGTCGAAACACTGCACAACCATTATTAAATTTAACAATCATCACTCTCACCTGAAGGGTATGTCGGCGACTGGCACCAGGTGTTCGGGGGCTGTGACGCTCATGCACTTGGGGTCGAACTTGGCAGCCAGTTTGGCCAACAGCGCCGTGACGTTTAGGTCGGCGGGCCTGGGGTCCAGCGCCGGGTTGGGCATCTCGATGAGATCAACGACGCCAGGGTCGTTGGACGGCACCGGTCGCAGGTCTAATCTGACACTGGACGTGCACATGACGGTGCGGCGGATCGAGCAACACGCCAGCGCGACCAACACGGACCACCATTTGACAGTCATCTGTAAACGATCGAAAAGAAAAAAAGTAAAATTCGTGAGTTCGACATCGCGCAGACGAGTGAAGAATCGTAATCGTTTGTTATTTAGTTTTATTTTATTATTATTATCATTGTTTTTTTTTTCGTCATCGTGCTCTACGACAATGAGAGGCGCCAATTTATAGTCTGCTGTAGTTGACACGTCTAGGAATCGCGCCGCGACGATAGAACGGATAGTTACCCACCCACCCACTAACTCTTCCGGAAAACTGCTCCGTCGCGATGGTATACCAAGTATTGGTCATATAATATTTTACGCCTATAACCACACGAATGGTGGATCGATTACCAGCTGGTATAGTGGTAACATMAAAAAAAATAAATACAAATATTCTACTGCAAAACTTCCGGTCCATACATTTTATGACTAAACTTGAAAACAAAAAATTTTGCATTTTTACAATACGCATTATTGTGATGTTGAAATTACAATTTTTGTATAGCACTTTTGACACGAGACTTCACCTGCTATAAACGATGTTGTAATTTTATGTAGAATTAAATTAAAAAAATTCTTTGTGATTGCTTATAAGAATTGTTTATAAGAATTGTAGCCAAATAAACATATTTCATTATTTACGCCGTTTGTAAGTTTATACCGCGGTGCGCGACTCTATGGTAGACAGGCTGACGCTATACTGCTGGATTTTCAGAAAAAAAACTACGCAAAACAGTTTTACGCCTGCCGATAAGATTAACCTCAGAACTCCGGTCAACACTACTGATACAATATTTATAACTCACTATATATGTGAGTAGATAAACCATTATCCTCATCCTCGCTGTATTTACACATAGATTAATAATTATTTTCCACTAAATAATACATTATAAGTATGTGATAATAATTATTAAAATCTGAGGGTTACACGTAAAAAAATCATTTATAGCATGTGATAAATAATATAGATAATCTGTTATCATTGTACCACTCAGATTCATAAATATGCAATCTACTTTTCCGTATAAATACAGGTCCAAAAATATATTATTATAATCTGCTATAGGAGTTCGACATAAAATAATGATATTCATAGAATTTAAAAATAAAATATCGTCTTGGCTTCTGAGTTGACAAAATACAGGGTGATTTGCCATAAGCTTGCTCCACCTATTTGTCCACATAAGTAATACATTTATTCAAATTTCTATTTTTTTTTTTTTTTTAATTTGTTAATATATTTAAGTGGACTGTTCTGAAAATGATAGTGTATCAAAATGAAAAATTCGACATAATAATTAATTAGCTATTTAACTCTGTGTGCCAAGGATAACAGTTATAGGAATATATATGATAAAAGTTCTGAATGATCTGAAAAGTAATTTATGATAATATGATACTGAAGTTTTATAGTTTATGAAAATTATTGATTGCCTTTAATAAATGTTAAATCTACTTCATAATTTATAAAGTATAGATTATTTAAAAACATGGCCAAGTATACTTGAAAACCCCAAAACCCGAAATTTGAAGAAATCAATTATTTCTGGGATTTCTGGATTAATGGGGTCAAAATACTCGGTGAATAACCCTGTGTATAGATATTTAACAATTTATTAGTACTGAATATACTCGAAATTGAGTAGGTTACTATATGATGGATTTATCTATTAAATTTAAAAACAATAATGAATCATTCTTAATTCATTCTAAAACACGACCATGCGCGGAGCTTTGGTGTAAAAATTACAAAATTCTTATACTAAAATCGTGTTTTACGTCAATTTTCAAAAGTTTCCTAACGAATTTATCACAAAAGTTCTAAAAATTAGACATTGTCCTTATAAAAGTCTCAAAAAATAAAGTCGGTATTAAATTTAATTCCTGGAAAATAGTGGAAATCTGCAACCTATTGAATCAAGACTTCTGGATGAAATGTTTTTTTCAGAAAAATTAAAATAAAATACAACAATTATCTAAAACGAACAAGCTAACTACTAGTACTTCACTTCGCTCAGAATTGAATAATGTCAAATACCATGTTATCTATTCATTAAAAGTATTGTTTTCAATTTTTTTTTCAAATGTAAACAAGATAATATGGAAAAAATGTTTCTATTTTCAAAAAATACATACCTGTTTGGTGCAAAACATTTAAAAATAAGAAAAAAGTTATCAAATTTTATTAATTTACGTGATAAACATCACGAATACCGCAATAATTTGAATCTTTCTATAGACTGTGAGCGATACATACTTGTATATAATCTGGTAYTATACTATATATAATTACAAAATATATAAGTACTGATATCGGTTTTATTATAATTTTTTATCAATTTGTACTAAAAATATCGTAGATAAGATTTTTTGAACGGCAATAAGGATATTTATGTAAGTTTACACGGATTGTCAGTGAATAAAAATACAAGACAACGTGTTATAGAAATGATCGGAAGAAATTGATATCGTTTTACTTAGAATATTTACGTGTATATCTATCTGAAAAATATACTACCTTCATAAAATTATTATAATATAATTCGAGGTTCCAGAAGGAGAACAAATATCTGTAATCGATAAGCAGTATCATAAGTTTTGTTTGGGCTCCTGGCGTTTAAACATAGCTATATTTTACTTGATATACCTACTATAGAAGATAAAAAAAAAAAAAACGCCGCTAAGATAATGTATTAGTCACATACTTCTTATTAGCTGGTTTAAAAATATGAATTGATTGGATGAAAAACTCATTTTCCCCTAATATTTCAGTTTAAACCCGAAATTTTCCAATCTAAAATAAATTAATCTTATACCTACTACAAAAATACGTTTAAAATAATAAATAAATAAACATAGCTATTAAAATTGATGGGTTAAAACTTCGTAATTTGTACAAACAATATTTCTAATTATAAAATATAAACTATACTAAATATAATATACGTATGATTTATAATAATATGTTTAACCATCATTATAAGCACTATTATCCTTAGACCATATTATTTTAAGAATATACCTACACATATTCTTAACAATCCAATAACCACTGGTTTGAATTTTGATTTAGATACATCAAAATATTCGTATTATTATGTTTAAGAAGTTTATCTGTTTAAAATTAACTTTATATATGATGATTCTTTAAGATACAGGAAAAAGGTTGGTTCTTGTTTGAAAAAAGATAGTTTGTATCATCACAACACCTTCATTAAAATATGGTATAAAAAAATTCTTTTATAATAATATTCCTTCCCCAATACGTATCCAAAATCAATTCACTTTACTTATATTGTACAATTGTTAAAATGTTAAAATGGGGGTGAGAAGACTTACGGTGAATCACATTGTATATAATATGTATATATATTATTTAAATCTACTCTTCGAAGCCGACTGAACAGAACACCGCATGTCGCATGTTCTCAACACGCGATAATTTTACGTCATTTTGCGGACACGTTTCGTACATTATATATTTACGTAACTACTCACATAACATACACACACAAATTATTATATATTATATACTTGGGTACAGGTATGTATATACCTGGTCGTATTTATCCGAAACAGACAGACGGGCGATCGCGCGTACTAGGTCATATAATAATATTATATTTGTGGAGTTTTGCCGCCGTCCAGCGCGTCTTTTTTTATTATTATTATTATTTTCTAAATCGCCGGTAATTTATTTCGAGTCACGTCGAAAAATAAAATTAAAACAGAAAAAAAATATGAGAAAAAAACCCGAAGAAAAATAAAAAGAAGTAGAAACCGGCCGACTGGATTCTTTGCCGGCACATTAACACCTCGGCTCGACGATCCGTTAACGATAATTCGTTCCGTCGGCCCCGTGTCCCCGCGCCGCCGGAGCCCGCGTGTCCCGTCCGGTTTGTATTTTTTGGTTTTTTTTTTTAATATTTTCCGTTTCGGATTCAACGCGTCAATCAACCGAAATCGTGTCCGAAAATCTCGGAGCCGACAAAAGGACTGCACGGCGTCCGTCCGTACACACACACGACGAAGTTTGGCCTCGGCCCGACGCCGACGACGACCACCATCACGCAGCCTCAACCGCCGCCGAAATAATACGATATTATGATTATTATTATTATTATTATTATTATTATTATTACACGTTGTATAGGTACTCGACGGAGACGACCACTACCGCGGTATGGTGTTTCCCCGTTCCTGCTGTTGCAGTCGCCTTCGGAGGCGTCATTTTCCCCTCCTCTTTCTCCTCTTCCTCTTCCACTTTATCCAACTGCTAACCACACCGACGACCGTGGCGCAGAGGATTTTTTTTGTTTTCGTTTGTCACTATAATAATAATATAATACAATATCCGATTCCGTCTTACGACGGAAACACGACACCCTGCCGTAATATGTACTCAGAAATCGGACGTTCAGTTTCAGATTGTTGATATTAATACGATATTATAATATTATTGTAATATTGTCGTCTCCGACTTCGATCTCCACTAGTCCCGGTGCGATCAAATCCGCGATATCGTGAACCATCGACGATATTATATATTTTTAACCCGACGATCACATTATTCTATACTATTAATAACTTCTTTTTAGATTCTGAACGAAGTGATGAATGTATTGATTTTACAATTATGTGTGTTTTTTTTTTTAATGTTTGTTTTTGTGTCTATGTACAGCATAACTAGTCAAAATAATGCTTCAATTTCAAACTTTGGGGGTGGTTTCCTATGTAAAAGTAAATATCCTTGGTGCATTATAAAGGTCAAAAGTAAACATTTTCCAACAGTTTTCAAAAAAATCGAGAAAAACAAAAAAAAAAAATGACATAAAAACTGGAATTTTTACGCAAAACCATTTGAAGCATTTGAAGTTCAAATATTGACAAAAATTCGTCAAACCCATGAATATTTGAAAGTAATTTTGAAGTTTAAAAATCATAAAATTGTTTGTGTTTATAACTAAAGATTAAAAATACAACACTAAGTTTTCCATAAGTTTTCCTTCAAATAACTATAGAGAAAACTCGAAGCGTCGTTATAGG